CGATTCAAGAGCCGGGAGCACTGCAAGCCGCTGGATCGGGCGCGCTATTGCTTTCGTGCCCGGACCTCTCCTTGCTTGGGCGCGTTGCCAAGTCGACGGGTATATAAGGCCGCGCAGCGCGCGCCATACGCCTCATTGTTTCGGTGACCTCGTTTTCAAAATTCGTTTGATTCCTCACGTACTCTTATTGATCGTGCTTGGCAGCTACCCCAGCACGCTCCCGTGGATGAAGTTCTTGCGAGCAGAGTAATTGTTAGAGCTTTTGGATTGTACCGCGCTTACGTGCGAGGAAAGTTTGGAGCTTGTTTCAAGTTTGTACCGGTGGAGAGGGCTCGTACCTGTCCTACGCGGAGGCGAGTAAGCGGTCGACCCTCGGGATTCCCTGACATTACGTACAGATTTAACTTGGTGATGATCGGGCTTGGGACGAGGCGGACTCGTCCCGCATTTCTTCTTCTTCTTTCGTAGTTTAGATTTTCGTAGTATAGTTCTTTTGTAGTGTAGTGTTTGTTATTTAGATAAATTTAAGTAATCTAGTCGCGCTTTTCTTGTCATGATTTAATTCCACCCAGCGGGGTATTTGTCGGTCGCGCCGGAGTAGCTAACCGGCGTTAGAATGTGCGGGAGTAGGAGCAGGATTGTGTTGGCAGTCGAGCGAGCAAGGGGGTGCTGAGCCCACCGAGCCGCAACAATTGTAGTCACTTTTGAGCTGTTTAATTGTTTTACATAAAAGCAAAACAATCACGAATTTGTTTTAGATCATCTTGCTTGCTTTCAGTGGTGATTTAATAATGCTCTTCTCTTCAAACCCTTTTAGCCATGCGATTTTAGCTAGAAATGACTATATATGAAGCTTAAAGTCCCTTGCTGCCGCTTATTTTGCCTCTTAAATGATTTCATCTCACGCACTTCTCTATTCCGAGCAAGTCTAGTCTGTTCATCGATAAGAGTATGTCGTTATTATTATGACAATGTTCACTTTGAAATGCTTGATCGAAATGAGGTTGAAATTGACTACAAAACAGATTGAACGAAAACTCTTAGTAAAACCTGTTAAGCATGTAAATGACATTTTAAATTTTTTTGACACGTGGCAGAAGGTTGGCACTCCTCCCTGTAAAGCTGAGACTAAATATGGTACAAGGATGGAAGCAATACTCTTCTTTGAAAAAATGGGTCCAGATAACGGAAAAGTACCGAAATATCTTGCCGCCGGTGGCGGTTGCAGGATTTCGGACCGAGGGGGGCGCGACAAAATTTTTTTTTTCAAATGAAGGTGCGTGGCGTTAGCCACGCACTCCGAAAGAATTTTTGGGGTGCTTCTCTAAATTTTTGCGGGTCCCCAACCCCTAAAATCTGAAAAAAGGGGGCGTGGCGTTAGCCACGGCCCCGAAAATTTTTTTATAGAGCTAATTTGAATTTTTAAAAATTTTAAAAATTATTTCAATTATTTACATAAATAAACAAGTTGTTTGCACATTTTTATAACCCATATATGTAAGTTTCAAAAATTTCGCGACCCATTCTCGGGGGGGGGGGGGCGCCCCTCCCCCCCCGCCCCCCCTCGGTCCGCCACTGCTTGCCGCCTCAGTTTATAAGCATTTTCTTCCCTCGAAACCAGGCTCTACGTGCTTTTCTGATTTTGGGGGCAGAAGTAGGATTCAAAAAGGTAAAGGCGGGCCAAAGTGAATTTATAACAACTTTAGGTAAATTTACCGCCTTCATCATTTCCGAGTGTGATTATAGAATTCTCAGCATGCTCACTTACCCCCGGATTAGTGCCATCTGAGCCTCGTAGCTTCAGCTTTGAAAAAAAGATGAAATCAATAAAAGTAATGGAAATTCTCAAAAACTATCTTTGCAGTGAGCGTGCTCACATACAACTTTGTGCAATGTCAGCCATCTAATTTTACAAAGAATAGAAAAATCGACAAAAATAATAGGTTCTTCTAAGAGCACTTATTACAATCGTAATCGGCATGCTCGCTTTCTCCCATGTGCCAAATCCCAGTTCCTGGCTTAAACTTTGCAAAAAATCGATAAAGCTAGTGAAGGTAAGTGACAAGTTGTAAAATAAGAATGTGCTCGTGAGCAGCATGCTCAATTACCTGCCTGTACGAATCCCCAACGCCATTGCAAAAAATCAATTAAACCAATAGAAGTAAGGGGTATTTTCTGAAATGTTATGATATTCGTAATCAGCATCCCTTACCCCCGTATGCCAACTCCCAGTCACGTAATTCAAAATCTGCAGAAAAATCGATAGAATGATAAAATTAATGGGTATTTATGAAAATGGTTATCATATTCGCAATCAGCATGCTCGATTACCCCCGTGTGCCAACTCCTAGCTCCGTAGCTTGAACTTTGCAAAAAAATCGATAAAATGATAAAAATGACTGATAATTCTAAAAACTAATACTGTGTATTCGTAATCAGCATGCTCGATTACCCCCGCGTGCCATCTCCTAGCTCCTTAGCTTGAACTTTGCAAAAAAATTGATAAAATGATAAAAATAACTGATAATTCTAAAAACTAATACTGTGTATTCGTAATCAGCATGCTCGATTACCCCCGCGTGCCATCTCCTAGCTCCTTAGCTTGAACTTTGCAAAAAAATTGATAAAATGATAAAAAAACTGATAATTCTAAAAACTAATACTGTATTCGTAATCAGCATGCTCGATTACCCCCGCGTGCCAAACCCCAGCCCTGTAGCTTGAACCATGCAAAAAATCGCTAAAATGATAAAAATAACTGATAATTCTAAAAACTAATACTGTATTCGTAATCAGCATGCTCGATTACCCCCGTGTGCCAACTCCCAGCACCGTAGCTTGAACTTTGCCAAAAAGTCGATAAAATGATAAAAATAACTGATAATTCTAAAAACTAATACTGTATTCGTAATCAGCATGCTCGATTACCCCCGTGTGCCAACTCCCAGCACCGTAGCTTGAACTTTGCCAAAAAGTCGATAAAATGATAAAAATAACTGATAATTCTAAAAACTAATACTGTATTCGTAATCAGCATGCTCGATTACCCCCGTGTGCCAACTCCTAGCTCCGTAGCTTGAACTTTGCCAGAAAATCGATAAAATGATAAAAATAACTGATAATTCTAAAAACTAATACTGTATTCGTAATCAGTATGCTCGATTACCCCCGTGTGCCATCTCCTAGCTCCGTAGCTTGAACTTTGCAAAAAATTGATAAAATGATAAAAATAACTGATAATTCTAAAAACCAGTATTGTATTCGTAATCAGCATGTTCGCTTACCCTCTCCTGCCAACTCCCAGCCCCGTAGCTCGAACTTTGCCAGAAAATCGATAAAATGATAAAAGTAATGGGCATTTTTCATAATGGTTATCAAATTCGTAATCAGCAAGCTCGATTACCCCCGTGTGCCAACTTCCAGCCCCGTAGCTTGAACTTTGCCAAAAAATCGATAAAATGATAAAAGTAATGGGCATTTTTGAAAATGGTTATCATATTCGTAATCAGCATGTTCGATTACCCCCCTGTGCCAACTACCAGTTCAAAATTTACAAATAATCGATAAATTTGGTAGAAGTAATAACAAGCTTCCATGCTGGAAAATGACAAACACGAAAACACCATCGAGGACCTACAGACAGCATCAACAAGCATGCTTATCCACCAGCGTACAGACAAGCGACCAGTGTACAGACAAAATCCCATTCGGTTTTATATATATAGAAGGATGCTAAAATCTCGCGCTTAGCTTCCGCGTGTAGAGAACTCATCATTTTTTACTTATAAATGCTGATTTTCATGGCATTTATCATCAGCATTTGTTTCTATTATACTCCTAAGCAGCGTAGTCTATACTTATCTAGACTTTTGTAAGTGACTAATAAAAACATGTACGGGTTACACATCGATCAATTATTAAGAAAAATTTTTGACTCAACAAAGGGGATTCATTCACAACCTTCACTAAAGCGTAAAATTCATATATGCAGCACTTGCATAAATTGTATTCCTGGCACATGTTTGAGCTTTTACTCAACTTTGCGCAAGATTTAGTAATGACTTTACTTTTTTTCCCGAGAAATGTGCGTATAGTGCAGCTTTTTTTTGTCATCTCTTCCGCTTCTCTAGTCTTGAAATGCTTGCGAACACACAGCGATAACAGTGACATGTGTGTAATGTATATACAAACTTTATCATCTGTTCTAACAAGTACTCATATCTTCACAAGTCTGCTGATTTGTCTTAGCCACTTATCAATGGTATCTTCCTTCTGTTTCGGAGTGATTCATTTTGATTAGCCATGTCTCTTTTCCCATTTATCATTTCCATTCTTCACCTTAACACTTTTTGCACCTCGCGCAATGGCATAGACTTACATTTCTTGTAAGAAATGAAGTTCTGTGACAAATTTAGTCATTGACACACTCTCTCGATGGTCGATCTATATGGCGCAATCCCCATTTTTCCAATGTAAGTGATCGTCGTCCCTTCTCTAAATGAGTATGGTAGGAAAGAGAAAAAATTTTTTTTCAAAATTTCATCGTTATTTCTCCAACATATATAAGGCCATATGATGAAGGAACCTTGAAGAAAAAACAACTTGTTAATTTGCTGGTCAAAAAGGAAACAGTGAGATTCTGTGAAATCCGGAATGTGGCAAAAAAGGAAAATATGTAGGAAAGGGATTCGCAACTTTGTCCACGCAAGGGTGTTGATCACTCAAAATGATTTATCAATTTGCTTGGTTCAAAAACCTTTCAAAAAATTTTGTAGTCGGCGTTTTGATTTTAAGAACAGATGGATGGAGTGAAGAGGCTTGTAACTGAAATAAACTACTTTTGTATGCTGCGATAAGCTATCGGAATATGGTATGCACACTGTATTCTACCACTTGTAGATGATGCTCACCCAGCATTTTCGTTTATTCTAGGTCTAATAAGCTTTGCAATTTTTCGCGGGTTGAATATGCGCACTTTCTGCAAAAAAAAATTCGAAATTATGGCGTATGATTACGCCAGTAGCCCTTTTCTGGAGGGTTTGAGAAAACGGAAAGCGGAAAACGTTAACAAATTCGCTTTTGATCTTGAGAAAGAAGTCTACGCGAACAACACAACGGAGCTAGCCCAACCCGTGGAAAAGAGGGTGACGACAGCAACACGGGTGAGCTCCATAGAAGAAGTAAATTGAACATTTCATTTTGGATTTTTAATGCTTAATGAGGAGTTTTTGCAGTGTATATATTAGGTTGATGCATAATTCCTGCACCAAAATAGGTACAGATCGCAATAACTCGGAATAATCCTATATCCCAAGTAGAATTCGATGTATCATTAGATAGAGCAAACCTAGCTCTACAATATAGTGCCTATATGGCAGCAGCTTTGATCCAAGCAAAGATTGAAGCCAAAAACGAAAAAGATCCAGGCGCCCCAAGAAACCAAGAAAAAATTGGAAGTCAGTTTAGAAAAATCCTTCAAAATTTCTAACTTGCTCATGCACTGTCTTTTCATATAAGACATCTCTCTATGCAGTTGCTGTATTTTTCTCTTAGCTAGACATTGAGAAAACGAAGTTTTTCATGTTTTTTCCAAAACAATGCTGAGATGTTCTAGCACTGACGGCTGTATACTATAGGACCTTAGAAGCGTGAGTGTGAATTTTCAGCTCTTTAGAGCGGCTGGTTTACGAGAAACATCGAATTTTTGGCAACTAGGCAAGAAAAATTTTGGATGAAGAGAGCTAAATTCGTCATTTCTCGTGAACTAGCTGTTCTAGAAGGCTGAGAATACAAAGTTTCACTGCTAATGGCATGTACTAAACAACTGTTAGTGCTAGAACATCTCAGCACTAAGTTGGCAAAAACATGAAAAACTTCGTTTTCCCATCGTCTAGCTGAGAAAAAAATACAGGAACCGCATGGATAGATGTCTTACGTGAAATGTCTACGCGTGAGCAAGAAAGAAATCTTGTAGGAGCTTTTTGAACGAAGTTACAATTTTGTTTTGATTGGTCTTAAGGTTTTTTCAGTTTTCGGCTCAAAACTTCGCGTGGATCAAAGCTGGTGTAGATATTTGAGCACCGTCTTGTAGAGTCAGGTTTGCGCTATCTAATGATATATCGAATCCTACTTTGGATATAGGATTATTCCGAGTTATTGCGGTCTGTACCTATTTTGGTGCAGGAATTATGCATCAAGCTAACAGAAGTACTACAGGTGCCGGTGGAGGCTCGTCAGAGCTTTTGGAGAGCTGCAAAAGCAGCTTTGGACTCCAGGGTAAGAAGGCTAAGGTGCTCCGTCGGCACCACCCCTTCGAGACGAGCCGCTGTGTTCGAATTCGACGAAGAATTGGACAATTGATCAGAAAGGATATTGGCAACTTTTGTTAAGCTGTTTATTGTGTAAATATTAGGTTGATGCAAAAATAATGAGCGTTTTTATTTGCTTGCTTTAACAAAGCAACCAGACTCAACCCAACAAAGGGTAAGCTGTTCGATAGAGCAAAGCAAGCTCTACAAGAAGGCACTCACGCCTTTGCGCCATGCTCGATCCACGGAGAGTTCGAACTCAAAATCTAAAGATTTCCAACTGCCCAAAAAATCGAAAAAAAAATCAGATCTTTGTCCAAATAATTTCTACGGACCTCCCACTCGCTCACATCAATACTATCGATATCTGATATCCATATGTGCGATTGTCGTATTTTTTCCTTGACTAGAAACTGAGAAAACGAAAATTTCCCTGATTTTCTCAAAGCAATGCTGAGCCGTTTTTGCATATATAGTTCTATACTACAAGCCTAGTTAAGCATAACTGTAGGTTTTCAGCCTATTTCGAGCGGTACTTTTCGAGAAATGTCGATTTTAGCACTGAAACTGAAACGAAAAAATCCGAATTGGTTATTTTTCGAAAACTACCGCTTGGAATGGGCTGAAAACCTACAATTATACTTACCTAGGCTTGTAGTATAGAACTACATATGCAAAAACGACTCAACATTGCTTTGATGAAATCACAGAAATTTTCGTTTTCTCAGTTTCTAGTCAAGGAAAAAATACGTCAATCGCACATATGGATATCGTATATCGATAGTATTGATGTGTGCGAGTGTGAGGTTCGTAGAAATTATTTGGACAAAGATCATTTTTTTCGATTTCTTGGGCATTTGGAAATCTTTAGATTTTCAGTTCGAACTCTCCGTGGATCGAGCATGGCGCAAAGACATGAGTGCCATCTTGTAGAGCTTGCTTTGCTCTATCGAACAGCTTACCCTTTGTTGGGTTGAGTCTGGTTGCTTTGTTAAAGCAAGCAAATAAAAACGTGCATTAATTATGAGACAACCTAATATATATTAGATTGATTCATAATGCACGTTTTAGTCACCTCTTCTTCCAAGCGCAGGTTTTTCAAGGGAATTGAATCTTTTCCAAAAGTTTCAATGCTTTCTGAAAGAGCGTTTCTTCTAGTTTCTTGTGTATCCTTTCTTTTTCGTGACATTCTGTATGATACCGAATGTCACCCTTCGCAATATGAGATACTAAAACCTGAAAATTTTTCCCTCCATTCTTTTTGCTCTAATTCCACGAGAACAAAAGATGTTGATTTCAAAAAATATGCCTAACAATCGCGATGCTTTCTGCTATGAAAATCTCTATGAAGCAGAATTTTGCAAAAGTTCTGAGGTGAGAGATCCAACCACAAACTTGGCCGGTCATTGCGGCCTTTCGAAGTCGTATAAAACTTTGAAATAAGAACCAATGACTGCAATTTTACTTTGTACACAAAGAATAGACATAGCACATTGAGTGCTAGAAGAGCCGTGAAATTTTACAGTTTTTGAATGGCAAAAATTTTCAAATTCTCTTAAAAGACAATTTTTCGCTCTTCTGAAAAAGCTAAAAAAATGATCATTTTTGAACTTTTTGCAATATCTCGTCGTAGAAAAATACCGTAAAATCCGAGCTTTTTGCCGCTGCTCTCTTGACCATTGGCTACGCAATGAGCAAAGTTTGCGCTTTCCTCCTACCTTTAAGAGCAAGTTATGCTTTCTCAAAAAAGAGGGTTTCAAAAAAAATTCTTGGCATTTTTCGGATCGTACAAACTTTCTCGTCACATTTATCTATGAACAAAAGTATATCTTGTAAAGCCAAAGATTTGCTCTTTGCAACAGTTTTTGTTGCTCTTTGAAAGATGATGTGGGGAAAGAATTACGGCGCTTTGAAGATGAATTTCGAAAAACGTGCATTAATTATGAATCAACCTAATATATTAGGTCGTTCCGAAAGTTCTTTCCGTTTTTTCAAGCTATCATAAAACACGGAGGAATGAAGATAGGGAAACGCTTCAGGCATTATCCGACGCAGCTTTTCTTCCTCTTTTCAATTGTCATATTCATGTGCCGTTTGCTCTTGTGATCAATGAGATAATGTCTGAAATTTCAAACCCATAGTTTTCATGGTGTCCAACTTTGGCAATTTTTCACATCCTTCTTTTTTGACTTTTGGAAAAGCTTCAATAGCACTCAGATAGAGTAAACAAAGTGCAGTCTAATGGAATTTTTTGGCAACTCTGACTGGCTTCTTAGTATTTTTTGAGATAATTTTTCCAGAAGTCTTCATTATTTCGAAATCACAAAAAAACAAAAATGCTCCGAACATTAACAAATCTTCGGATTTCGATACTTTCAAAAGTCGTTTATGATTGTCCACTATTTTTACAAAGTAACTCAGTGTTTACCGCCTCGAAATATGAGATTTCGCTTTTCGCATGTACACCCTTAGGCGAGTTCAAAATCAAGAATTATGGAAATTTTATCGTCAAAAACTCCCACAAATTGGGAAGAAAAATACTCAATAGAAAGAGGAGAAAAAGCTGCATCGAATGACACCTTAGCTGTGTGCTGTTTTATGTTCTATGATTCTTGGCATCACCAAAAGTGGAATTTGATGGCATCAGAAAAATATTTCTAAACAATTTTCAAGACTAGCTATGGGCGCCGAAAAATTGCATTAAATCGCACTTTGTTTGCTCTATCTGGCTGCTATCAAAGCTTCTCTAAAAGTCAAAAAAGAAGATCGTAAAAAATTGCCAAAGTTGGGTATCGTGAAAACCATGGGTTCGAAATTTCGAACATTATCTCACTGATCGCAAGAGCAAGCGCCACAGGAATACAATAGTTGAAAGAGAAAGAAAAGCTGCGTCGGATAGTGTTTGAAGCGTTTCCCTACCTTCATTCCTCCGTGTTTTATGATAGCTTGAAAAAACGGAAAGAACTTTCGGAACGACCTAATATATTAGGTTGAACACTAAGTTTTGCAACTTTTCTCATAACTTCCCTCTCACTCAACATGGTGCACTCAAATTTTGCCACTGTGTTGGTTATTATGTATGCTACAAGCGCAGCTGCTGTCCTACCAAATTCTGACGTGGCAGTGAGGGTTACGGTAGGTGTATGGTATGAAGGGGAAAAATTCAAAGTTTGACGGATTTGGCTGAAACTTGGCATAGGGATGTTATCCGACATGCTGATCACGAAAGCGATAGTAAAATTGCGTGATAAGGGCTTTTTTGTAGGATTACTGTAGGTGTACGGTATGGGGTCTCACCCTAAACAAGGGAAAAGGCGTTGATTCAACAAATGAATACGATATTCGCGTTTGGCAGGTCAAATAACTTTACTATGTGAAGTCTTGGCGGAATTTGAGCTTCGGACTCTTTAGTCACTGACGGTCGTCCCCAGCACCTCTTGCGTACATCGACTCGTTCGATTTATGAGGACGACAAATCTCGACATATCGCTAAATTTTGATTCTTTCTTAATAGACCAAAGGAGTCAACCTCTAGCAATAACTTGCAGACGAATCCGGATTACTGCGCATGGTCTAGGCTGCCAAAGGCTTCATTTTAGCTTGAAACCTCAAAAATTCTCAAATTTTACTTGTTTTCGAAAAATGCCTGAAACTTTTCTATTTCGTGTTCAAAATTCAGACAATTTGTGCTCTTGTAGCTCACATTGCATTCTACATGATGCCAAAGTTTGAGTGCGCATGTTGAATGAGAGTGAAGTTATGAAAAAAGTTGCAAAACTTAGTGTTCAACCTAATATATAGATAGATATAGATATCGAGATATACAATATCTATCTTTTTCAAACTGACAAGCTAACACTCCCTTTAAAATATACTAGGTCGTTCCGAAAGTAATGTCTCTTTTTTCAAACGTATGCCACATCTCGTATAACAAAATTGTATAAGAGATTCTGGTAGCATTTGATGCAGCATTTCATTCTCTTTCTAATGGTTATGAAGTTGTTGCAATACAGTCAATGAGCTTCCAGAAAAGAGTCAGAATCTGAGACCTATGCTTTTTGAGATGGCCAAGTTTCACAATTTTTCTAAGATTTTATAACAAACCTAAGAAGGAGTCCAATTAATGGATGGATGGAGCAAACCCTACTGGAAAGAGCACAACTTTTTTCTACTTTTCAGAGCTCGTGATAATTTTTGTAAGATTTTTTGATGGAACCACTAAATTTTAGCAGGCTCGTCTCAGACGCAAGTGCATCAAACGCCAACAAGTCTCCGGAATTTGAAACTTACAGAGATGGATTATGGTTTGGCAACAATTTTACAAACCAAACGGCATTCACCGCTTCGGTTTAGCAACTTTCGAAATTTTCGGGTACGCCTTGAGGTGCCATGGAAAAGTTGAATTATGATGATTTTATCCCGGATAACTTGATGAAACAAGAAACGACCGCTAGAAAGAGGAGAAAAAGCTGCATCGAATGACACCCAAATCGTTTGCCGGTTGTTGTTCTGTGAGGTTTGACTTGACTAAATATGGAATACGATGGCATTGAGAAATTGATTGTAGAAACTCTGAGAAGCAAGCTAAGGAAAAGAAAAAATTGCTCTGTGTTCTATAATGTTTGCTCTATCTACCTGCCACTTGTACTTTTTCGGAGATTAGGTACAAAAATTTAGAAAAATAGCAGAACTTAACCATGGCAAAAAGCATGGGTCGCAGATTTTGGTAATTTTTCGAGAGCTCATTGAACTTTCTGCAGTGGAATTAAAACTACTAGGAAGAGGATGAAATGCTGCATCGAATGCTCCTAAGATCTCTTGAAAATGTTGATTCCACGAATAGTGGCGTTCATTCGAAAAAAGCGACATTACTTTCGGAACGACCTAATATAACGCTTGTACAGCAATGGTGGCGTTATGAGTCATCAGAAAAAGGTGTTCATTTCAATTATAGAGTTTGTAGAATGGAAGAAGCACGAGAATTAGTGAATGTTGCTATAATCTTTCCGTAAATTAGTTGACTCAGTTGATGGAATAGTGCGTTTAGTAGCC